ATTATAACTCAAAATTTCCAACCTCCCAGCAAAAAGTGGGTGGATCTACTATCCTCTGTCCCAGTGTAGGAAAGGTTCTAGAGTTTCTACTTAAACCTTTTCACCATCCTTAAGACAAATAGCGGCATTCATCCCATTCTGGGTTTAAAGATTCTAAACATGTTCTTTTGTGTTCAAAAATTCAGCATGGAATCTGCCAGGTCATTCAATTCTTCCTTTAAACTGGGGGATTTTTTTGGTCTCTGTGGGCATCAAGGGTGCCTACTTTAACATCCACCTTTTCTCAGCACATCAACCCTACCTATATTTTACTGTGGGCATGCAACATTACCAATTTGTTGCCCTTTTCGTTGGCTTATCCATGGCATCTCAAGTTTTTATGGTACTAGTGCCTATCCTGGCTCTGTCACTCTCAGGGCAGCCCCATTGTGGGATAACTGGACAGCCTACTGCTAAAGGAACAATTAGTTCAGACTCTGTCAGCCTATGTCCAACAAACAGTGCAGACGCGAAATATTGGGGTTACCACTCTGTTGACCAGTGATCTGATAACTGGTGGAGGAATATACATGTAGCAAGGTCTTCCTTGCTAGTACAGAGGCTGCCGGTCCCATGCACACCAACAATATAGTATCAATCTAGGGAATGTCTTTTTAAAATGTATTTATTCACAATGTCCAAGGAGCCATACACCACATATCTTCCACCGGGAGATTCTCAGTGAGGGAGATAAAAGATCTTTCTTCAGACCAGGGCTTCTGACAGTGCCTCCAGCACTAATTTTTTACCAGTCTTCCCCAGGCCCTTGTTTGGGGTGCAGCCGATCGGACGTCCTTTGTTCTCATCTTAGCCTAACTCCTGTTGAGGGCAGACAGCAATCCTTGACTTAGGAGAGCTAAGCCTCCAGGGGCAGCAGCACCAAGAGAACTGGAACCCTCCCTGAAGAAGAGAGAACAATCTGGGTAGGCCTCCCCCAAATATTTACAACCTCCCCATCTACCTTCTGAGATTAGATGGAACATGGTCAATATTCATACTGTTCATTTGACTCTCGATGCGCCTACATTCCGGAAACTTCTCCCAAAAGCAGGTGGGATAAATCAACTACCCAGCAGCTTAGCTAGAAGAGGGCGCTGCATACAAGAAGCCAAAAGAGAGCTGCAAAAAGCTCAGATCCATGGAATGGTTGAAACACATAGGGAGATCATTGCACAGAATGTTCAAGGAACAAACATCCTGTCCAGTAAGGAAAACAATGGGTAGCACAGTAGTGGCATCACCAAATCTCACAAATCTGGTGAGACTAGAAGTGAGAGTCAGCAGTGCTGTAGATGATCTTATTCTGCAGATATGCAGCTATGAGGCCAGAGAATGCCTGGGCACCAAAGGTGAAGTATGCTTGGTTTTTTTTTGGGAGGAATTCACTACCAAAGGTAGTATTTTCAAGGTACTGCATAGGCAAAATTATAATTTCTAGATATTAATTTCAATATAGTGTAGGGCCCCTCTATGTAGCCAGGGGGAGCAAAATAGTTTAGTTAGCTTAGTGAGAAAGGCTGAATAGCAGCCTGGGCATGAGTCAGCCTGGGTGTGAGTCATCCAGGTCAATTTAGGTCAGGGCTGAGAGCTCTGCAGGTCAGTTCCCTGATACCTCCCCCTGATATAGAGACTTGGAGAAGTCTCTAGAACTCAGTGGGGTGGGGGTGATGAGGATCTGGCCTGCATATCTAAAAGATAAGTTCACCTTTGGGAACATGTTACATGTTTCACCCATTTTTAGGGCGGAACATGTACCATGTTCCCATAGCCGCTGCCGCCCACTGCCCCCCCTCCCTATTATTTTTGTCTAAAAGGTGAACTTATCCTTTAAGGGACTCTGGGCAATCCCCAAGCTGGAGGCCTGACATGGGGCCAGGGTAGTCTTTAAGTGTGACAGAGCCTGCTTAGCAGCAGGAGAGTTCAGCTGGAAGATGAAGTGAGAGGCTGGGATGCAGGTGCTTGGGAGAGGCCACAGTGGGAAGGGGCCTACATCCAGGCTGAGGCTGGAAAATAGGATCTCTCATCCTCAGCAGTCCCCTTAGAGAAGATCACTTGTGCAGTGGGGAAGAAGCCAGCCCAGCAGAAGGCCTGAAGGCAGCCACCAACCCAACAAACTCAGAGCAGAGGGAGAGTGAGTACTTTTACACCCCCTGAGCCGGATATGGGGAAAGAGCATTCGGGTGGGAAACCTGAATAGCCCCCAACTGGGACTGTTTGATCTAAGGAAACTGATTCTGAGTCCCCTTGCCCAGGGATTCATCCAGTACAGCTGGATGAGGAGAGGATTCATATGGGGTCTGAGGTGGTACATCAGGAGAGGCTGGAGAGCTCTCAAGGAAGAAAACTCTTTTTGCTGTACAGAGATTTGTACATAGTTGCTAAGGAGTTGTCCTCAGTTGCAGTTCCCTTGGGCATCCCATACACCCCATCCAAGTTCAATAAAACTTTAAAACCAAGATCAGGGACTTCGTCTCTACCTCTGAAGAAGTGCGTGCGCATGAAATGCATTAGGTGGAGCCCAGGATGTCGTGACGGCACGCCGCCGGTGCCACGTGGAGGCCCGGCGGCCATCTTAGATATTGGATGGTCAGTCATTCTTATTTACCTGACACTGCGATTCATTGCATCCCTGCTATACTTTCTTTAATAAAGATTTAACTTATATACTACACTATGAGTATTTCCCTCGGTCTCCTGTGAGGATATCTCCAGTTGCAGTCCATATTTTGACCAGAGAGAGGGGGGATCTTCAGGATAATTACACACCGCATATTTTGTATACGCTTCTGGTTAGTGTGCATTTCTACCATATGCACTGGGAACGCAGAGAGCACCTTCACAGAACTTTATTTCATTTCATTTTCATTTTTACCATATTGTTTGTGCATTTGTATCATTGGCACCTTCTATTTGTCAGCGCTGCATTTTACATTTTATGCAAGATCAGGGACTGTTTACTGTCTCCAGAATGCAAGTCTGGGAAAGATGAGTGTTGCCTGGCTGTGCAGGACTTCAGCAACTCCTAAGGGGTTGTGCTGCAATAGCAAACATTCACTTTTTGTATTCAGGTTCACTCTAGTAGCACAGAATGAATGTATTTTTAAAAAATGCACCTTTCCCTTTAACAAGGGAAACAAGCTATTGCCATCTACTCGGCTGGCTTCCACACACAGCTAACCCTTTCCACTTTTTAATCCAGCCTTGCCCTTCACCGGTCAGACAGGAGTGGGATAATGAAGCACCCAGGAATAAGTGCAGCAGAATGATATAATTTATCTCTATTAGTGATGCTGGGAGCACAGACAGATTACCCACAGCGGATCAATCAAAATAAACTCTGCCCTCTAATATTCATTCTAACAGGCAAAATTGCTTTTAGATCTGATAAGGCCATCCTCACTTGTGGTATTTGTAAGACAATTAGATGGGATGGGGGGGTGGCGGGTTGCCTGTTCCGGAAATGTATTTTAGTTTAATTGCATCGCTCTTGTGAGACATAACTTGTTTAAAGTCTGTAGATATTTATTTCCCCTGAATAATATTCCGCTGTGATCAATAAACCGTGTTGAGTTTTAAAGAGAAAGACACCAATTATCTTATTTACGAAAGTGTTTCCTACCATGTAAAGAGAATTAGTTTTGGTTCCAAGAACAGAATTAAGTGATCTTCTAATTTGATCGTAAAATGTAATATACTAAGATTAGATTTTCTTTTCCGCTCTATGCTTCTCAGTGTAGACTTCGTAGTTCTCATGTGTATATACTGCTTTATAGAACGCATACAATGATTCAGTTCAGTCTCAGATTCAGAGCAAGCTGAATGCAGTCTGCGTTTCAATAGCTGTGACCTGCTTTTCACTTAAAGTGATTGTAAACCCTCACCTTGTAAAACAACTGATTCAGTTTAAATATTAATGAAAGGCAAAAAATGTCAGTAATGATATAGAAAAAACATTATATATCACATTCCCCCTGTTTTCAGCTGCATAAGAGCTGGGGGAGGATAAACAGCAGCACACAGATCCCAGTGAATGGCTTTGTAGGGGGGAAGGGGGTGTCAGGACAAGTCTGATTATTGGAGCAAAGTAGGCTGAGCTCCCATCATAGTTAGAGAACTGGCCATGGTGTGTTCTGTCTAATGTGGTCAGTTTTAATTAGGAAAGCAGAGGGAGTGGCAGGATCACCAGGGATTTCACACAAAAAAGCAATGCAAAGAGAACAGGATACTTTTTTCATACAAGTGCATGATGCAGCAGGCACATATAAGGAATGTAAAATGTTGGGTGGTACCTGTCTGTTAATTCACCGGACTTATTTATATATATATATATATATATATATATTGTTTATATGTTTTATTTAAATATATAAAATATATATATATATATATGTAAAAATATATATATATATTATATATATAATAATATATTATTATTATATTATATATAAAAAATAAATAAATCCGGTGAATTAACAGACAAGTACCTGTTGGGTTTACATATTCTTTAATAAAGTCAGATAAATGTATTGCCTGGCACCTGTTCATTTTTTTTTTTATATTTTACTGCAATGCTTACCTCCTTGCTGGCATTGTCTCTTGAAGACTCACTGCTCCCTCCTGTTTGCTGCTGCTGAGACTAATCTAATTCCCTTTAATTGGGACCCTTCCTTGCAGGAAGTTTTATAAATGCCCTTCTGACAGATCCCCTCAAAAAGGGTAATCTTAGAGAAATAAGATGCATGAGTGGAGCAGTGGTGCCATGTTCTCAGTTCTCCCACATGGGCTTCCACCTACCATGGGTTTACTGCACCTTACATTATCTGCTGACCTAAAGGGAATGGTAACTCAAATATGATGATAGAAGATTTTGGTACACTGAAGTATACAAAGACAAATATGGCTTATGGCTGGATGTGTCATTATGCATAGAGCATGGATATTAAAGCGTCAGCATGTAAAGTGAGAGCAGGGGCGGACTGACCATTTGGAAACTCGGGCACTGCCCGAGGGCCTGGGGTCAGTAGGGGGCCCCATGAGATGCCCCTGGTACCTTTTTCATAGGCTTTTCCGAGTTTGGGCAAGGATACAGGGGCCCCATGATCCCCTATTACCCGGGGGCCCTATGAGTTGTCAGTCCGCCCCTGAGTGAGAGTGGATATCATTTAGCCATAGGCAGCTACATGAGTGAATATATTATCTGAAGATGAAGGACAGTTAATGGTGTTGGGGTCCTGAGTAACAAGGTCCATGGTATAAACCTGGTCAGGTGTTTATGGTGACTAGTGTGAAAGTAGTCTGCCCCCTGAGAGTTTGAAAGGTTGCCACAAACAGAGCACACATCAGGTAACATGAGCCCCCATGTCCCATGGGCTCCAGAAGCATGTTTGAACCCTTGAAGCCTTAGCTTGAAATCACAAGGAGAATGCTTGATAACATTTGTAACATTGTGAGCAAGATTGGCCTCCCAACAGAAGATAGTGGTATAGGGCGATCAGGAGATCCTGGAAGGTTCGAGAAAGCATGAAGTGGTGTTTGGCACACTCACACATAATAGAACTGGCAGGTGGACATGTGCTTTTGTCCAAAGACAATGATGGCAGAACTGCCATGGAAAACAACTGGGGCTGAACCGGAGAGGTTGTGGATTTGTTCAGTAAACCCTAGTGTGTTGTTGGATGCTGGCCTGAGGTTTGCTTCACGAAAAAACCTCACCCTGTGTAAGCAGGGGTTGTCAGACTAATTTTTATCGCAATGTATGGAGTGTGACAGAATGACCCCAGTCGTGTCCCCTTGGGTGAGATGTGGACTTTGTAGAGTCTTTTTGTTTACTGGTGAGAGCTGAGGCCTGTGACGTATGGATCTCCATGAAATAAGGAACTGCCAGAGAGGAGATCCCTTCAAGGGCCTCTACAAAACTGGCAACCCTAAAGCTGGTGGGGTCCTTGGGTTGAGTTGGGGGACCCTGAAGAGGGGGACTATGAGGCTAGCACAGTGACCATACAGAATGCCTCTGTGGAGGGTAAGGATGAACCCCCTGAACAGCCTGCATTTGTGGACTGTAGGAGATGAGCTGGACATCGCTTCCAGAGGAGTCACTTGTGCACTTGAACAGGAACATTGGTTGGTAGACTCTCAGACAGAGAAGGAGATTGCCCAGAGATGAGCCTACCTGAGAGGGAGGAGGACACTGAGTGGATAACATTGTAAGCCTAATGCATGCTTACTTGCCTCTAGTGAGGTCATGGCTGATGCCTCACTCTCATTATGCTTTCCCCTATGTGCCTAAGGAAAGTTTTCAAATTATTGACAGAAAGAAGCAGGACATTTATAGTTGGTGTGTCTGGAAACATTTGCAGGTGCTGGAGGAATTCTGACTCAGATAAGGTGGTGGGCCATAGTTTTAAAGAGTGTTCTGCAAGTTCAGCCTGGGTTATCAATGCTCATTGACAAAATTATATATAGTGTAGCCCAGAGAGGAGGATCTACATCTCTATGTTAGATGCACGCAACCTCGGACTGGAAAATTAGTTGACTTTCCATTGATATCTGTTTATTGGTAAGACCCCCATGCTGTTCCTTTTATTATGCTGCAGCATTCGATGATATATGTTATAATTTTATTTGGTATTGTTGCTATTTTAATGTCATTATGAAAAGGTGCAATATTTGTTATGTTGTTCCCACTTGGCCAGTGGTGCTATCCTAAATGGCCCGATGATACAAGTAGAAAAAGTTTGAGGAAAAAATCAGTCAGATATAAGCAATGCAGCATATTACCGTACATTAGACAACATAGAAAATACAGCTATAGACCATCTTAGCTCTTAAACAAAATCTGATGGATCGAGCCATACCCAAGAAGTTCAGCGTATATACTAAACATATGATAAGATACAAAACCACAACAAAGCAGGTCTAAACGTAAGATATATAAATACTGAAGAAGCAGCCCACAAGAGAGAATATTAAAAAAAAAAGGGGGGGGGGGGGGGGGTTAGAGGATGGAGGAGTGGGAAGGAGGGTAGAGAACAAGGAATGGAGAAGAGATACAGTTGCAAGAAAAAGTATGTGAACCCCTTGGGATTACTGGGATTTTTGCATGAATTGGGCATAAAATGTGCTCTGAACATCATCTAAGTCACAACAATAGAAGAACACAGTCTGCTGAACATAATACTACACAAACATTAGATGTTGCCATGGTTTAATTGCACATAACATGTAAACATTCACAGTGCAGGGAGGAAAAAGTATATGAACCTTTGGACTTAATAACTGGTTGACCCTCCTTTGGCAGCAATAACCTCAACCAAACGTTTCCTGTAGTTGCAGATCAGACCTGCACAATGATCTGGAGTAATTTTGGACCACTCCTCTTCACAAAACTGTTTCAGTGTAGCAATATTCTTGGGATGTCTGGTGTGAATCGCTCTCTTAAGGTCATGCCACAGCATTTCAATCGGGTTAAGGTTAGGACTCTGACTGGGCCACTCCAGAAGGCGTATTCTGTGCTGTTGCAGCCATTGTTTTGTTGAATGACTTGTATGCTTTGGGTCATTGTCCTGTTGCATCACCCATCCTCTGCGGAGCTTCAGTTGGCAGACATATGGTCGTACGTTTTCCTGCAAAATGTCTTGATAAACTCTGAAATTCATTTTTCCCATCAATGACAACAATCCGTCCAGGCCCTGAGGCAGCAAATCAGCCCCAAACCATGATGCTCCCTCCGCCATGTTTTACAGTGGGGATGAGGTTTTGATGTTGGTGTGCTGTGCCTTTTTTTCTCCACACATAGTGTTGTGTGTTCTTCCCAAACAACTCAATCTTGGTTTCATCTGTCCACAGTATATTTTGCCAGTAGTGCTGTGGAACACCCAGGTGCTTTTTTGCAAACCTCAAACGTGCTGCAATATTCTTTTTGGACAGCAATGGCTTCCTCCGTGGTGTCCTCCCATGTACTCCATTCTTGTTTAATGTTTTCCTTATTGTAGATGTGTCAACAAAAAATGTTAGCATGTGCCAGAGATTTCTGTAGGTCTTTAGCTGACACTCTGGGATTCTTCTTTACCTCATGAAGCATTCTGCGCTGTGCTCTTGCAGTCATTTTTACAGGACAACAACACCTAGGGAGAGTAGCAACAGTGCTAAACTTTCTCTATTTGTAGACAGTCTGTCTTACCGTGGACACATGAACATCAAGGCTTTTGGAGATACTTTTGTAACCCTTTCCAGCTTCCTGCAAGTCAACAATTCTTGATCGTAGGTCTTCTGAGAGCTCTTTTCTGCGAGGCATGGTTCACATCAGACAGTGCTTCTTGAAACCAGTAAACCCAAAACAGGTGTGTGTTTTTTTAAGGGCAGGACAGCTGTCAGCAACACATCCAATATCATCACACTGATTGGAGTCAAAGTTGGCTCACTCCTGGCTTCAATTAGCTATGGGAGAAGTCATTAAGCTAGGGCCTCACATACTTTTTCCTCCCTGCACTGTGAATGTTTACATGTTATGTGCAATTAAACCATGGCAACATCTAATGTTTGTGTAGTATTATGTTCAGCAGACTGTGTTCTTCTATTGTTGTGACTTAGATGACGTTCAGAGCACATTTTATGCCCAATTCATGCAAAACTCCACGTAATCCCAAGAGAAAGTAATTGTAGAATGAGAAATGTCACAACATTCAGTAAGTAAAGAGCTGCTCTGCTGTACTATCTTCCTGGGCCAAATGTGTGCATCAACTTGATCCCCAGGGGTCTATCCAGGTTGTCCATGTCTTATCAAACTTCTTGAGGCGGTGGTATCAACCTTATACAGTGGTAAAGCATTAACTATAGCAGCATTCCAAGAGGCCAGAGTAGGGGGGGGTTAGGTGACTTTCACTTTTAAAAAAAGAATCTCTATGTAGTCATAAAAGATAGAAAAAAAGGAAAAATTTAAAATGACAACCCAAAACTAGTCCATTCAAAATTCGCAAAAGAAACATTTTAGGGGTCAAACCGAGGGTTAAATCACAACCACACATCGTAACGGTGATGACCAATTAGAAGCCATTTAGCCCGCTGCAAGGACAGGAGACAAAGCTGTTGGGATTTCAAACTCCTAGACCTGTGAAGCGGCTTTTCGTTTTGTGACAGCATGAGTTTGGTGCAGACAGGTTTCTCGCACCACTCCTGTGTGAACTCAGGCTATGAAAGGCCTGGGTTCACACAGGAGCGGTGGGGAAATTGGATGTGATTTGGAAAGGAATTGCATTGCCTGCTATTCTTTGCGATTTTCGCTCATTCATTTTTTTATGGACGCAAATCACACTGAAAAGTATCGGTTTTGGGTATCAAGCGTTTTCATGAGTACTCGGTAAAATACTTGTTATCGGTGCATTCCTAGTGAAGCTATTTAGGTAAGTGGACCATCTTGACGAGATTAGCCCTGCCAACTGGTGTAAGGGGAAGTGTTTTCCAATACATACATCTCTGTGAGAAGAGCTTAAAGCAGAGCTCCACCCAAAAGGGGAAATTCTGCATTTATGATTGATCCTCTGCTCCCCATTAAGGATTGGCACCTGGGGAGCGGGTGCCCAAAATTAACAGGTACTCACTCCCACTTCTGCTGCGACCACCTAGGTAAACTGAAGTGGAAGTTGTCCTCCCGTCCTCCCTCCCCATAGTCTTCTGGGACACGTGACAGGTCCCAGAAGACTACGAGGCCATTCACAAAGCGCAGTGCTACTCACACACATGCAGAGAGCACCCGGCTGTGAAGCCGCAAGCTGTCACAGCCAATTGCCCACATTGAACATACCGACAGCAGGAACACAGAGTGGCCATTGAGACTGGGGGGGATCACCGTGGGATTAAGGGAAAGGTAAGTGTCCGTTTTTTAAAAGTCAGCAGCTACAGTTTAGCTGCTGACTTCTATTTTTTGTTATTTTCACTGGAACGCCGCTTTAAGTAAGGGAATTGGATCCAGCTCCATATAAATCACCAGGGAACTACCCACTTGAATCCCAGGATATTTAAACTCATCCACCCAGCATAGCAGGGTGTTTCTCACTGGTCCAGAGAAGGTGCTAAATTCATTGATTATTTGTAGGGCAGCCCTAATTGAGGAAGTCATGTCGCCAAGATATCGGAGCAGGAGCGGACTGACAACTCTTGGGGCCCCCGGGCAATAGGGGTTAATGGGGCCCCTGTGTCCTT